TTTTCTTAGAGAGTCACCACAAATTCTCCAGTTTGGAAGAATCGGTGGCAAAACTGAGAACAGGATTAAAATTTTCAAACAATATTTTAAACAAATTAATTTTTAATATATTAAATTAATATAAATATATATTAAAAAAATATTTTTTTTAACAATGTTACAATTTTGGAAGAAGGGAGAATCGAACCCGAACCCTCAAGTTGAGGGATGCATTTTACAAACCGATATATAATCGTTAAACCGTGAAATCCGAGTGCATTTAAAATTATTTTAAAAAATTAAAATATATAAAAATTAATATAAATACCATATATTTAAATAAAATTAAAAAAAAAAAAATCTATTTAGCACATTGTGGAGGGCCCAATAAATCAAACTAGTGGCAAGAATCCGAGGTTAACAACACTTGGCAAATCACAACTGATAATCTTCACGTGGATTAACATAGATCACATACTTTAAATTCGGCTTGAACCTATAGCCTGTAGGATCATTAGACTCTGGCCCTCTATCCAGCTGCTTAGCATTTAAAATGCAATTATTCCAAATTTGTAACAACTGTTTCTTGCTTTATTGGCTAATTAGATAAGTTTTTCACCTTTAACAAGGATTCCCTTTCATAATTAATGGAGTATTAGACCTAGAAGGATTCCTTTTTCTCCAAGCTACACGAAATACTCTTGAAATCACACGCCCCAATCAGTTTTACGTTTGTACGAACTTAATTGTTGGCACCATTTCCACCACATACTAAAATTCGACTTTTATGTATTATAGGCTCTATAGAAAAAGGAAATTGACTTGTAACAGTTCTTACTGTAAATCAAGAATAAAATGTAATTAGGAGTAAAACTTTAACAAAATAAAGTTTAAATCTTAAAGTCTAAGCAAAAACTTTGATTTGATGAGACGTACATTAACATCAGCTATATTTTCAAGGTATCATGAAAAGATCGAAATCAAAGCAATGTAAATACGTAGTGATCAACTTGAGTGACAGTTTTATAAAAGTGAACTAATTTTGGCCTTTCTTTGATTTGCAACTATTGATGAGAGAATTGCAATGTCAAGCGCCCACTTAAAGCCTTCTTAAGCGTTTCTTTGTAAAAACTTTTCCTTCATTTTGTGTAAAAGGTCTGTTTTTAATCAAAAGCAAGCTTTTGGTAAAGACCGTGCATGATGATCTATTTAGTTTATTATTAAATTTTCACGGACCATATATATATTAATATTTTTCAAGGCTCCTCCATGCAAAGATTATGTATATAATTAATGATTGCTAAAGTCGGTAATTACAAAATGGAAGACATAATTGACATCCCACCTCATGACCAATGATTATAACATGACCACGTATGTAAATACCGACAAAGCTCCTAGTCTCAATTTTAAATTTGGTAAAACTTCCTGTTTTTATTTTATATATTTATTTGTTTGGTAAATATTCTTCTCTTTTTTCTTTTTCTTTTTTTGTTTGAAAATGGAAAACAGGACATAATCAAATATTCAATGAATAAGATCATAAGAATACTGTTGCAGTGTCAAATATATATATATATATATATATTTTTT